ACCTTGCAGGAACCCTGTAAACCTTGTCCTTCTTGGGATGCCATTTCACAACCATCTTCTCTTTTCCTCTCAATCCCCCCCTCACCCCGCTTCCTGTTCTTCACACCAGTTTCTTTCCTCCTCTGGCAGGGCATTTAGTCCCACCGGGTCTCAAAGGAAATGACAACCAGAAAAGAGAAATAGCATTGTTATAAATAGTATTATTAGGCTCTCTGCCGTCACTGAGGCCAAAAGCGTTTATACCAAGGGCAAGGCATATTGGGCTGGTGCAGGGAAATTTCATTTTAAACCTGAAGTCTTTGATCCTGTAGAAATAGTCTCTGATGCCTTTCTTCTTCTGTTTTCTCCAGTGAGCCATTTAGATTTAATCATCCCCTCTGATAGCTACTGATGTGTTAGTCATAACGTCTCACAGAACTCCCGACGCTGATGAATTGCGTCTTGAAAAATGACTTTGGGCAGCTACATTAGATTAAGCCAGGATGCTGGGGCTGGCTGATGCGAGGCTGAAGGTTCTTTGCAGCGATCTTGCTGGGTTAGAAGTAGAAATTAGTCCACTCCCCCTGCTTAGGAACCGGACTGTTTGTTCCGATTCCCCCCACCCCAAGCAATCTTCTCAGAGTCATTTGCCAACCCCGAGGTGTGAAAATCAGGACACTAACATGAAATTTCTCCCTAATATGGGTTCAGTTAGTGGTTAGTGTGATAAAACAAAACAAAACACCAAACAGATTGAATCTTTTACTCATAGCAATATATATTTCCATTGTGTGTATTTGTATAAAGCATTTACCATCCAAACCGTTTGGCATGGACATTCATGTTCATCTTCAGCTATCAGCACCACCTCTAGAACACATTTATCATTTCAAATTGAAAAATATATATTTGTTCAACCAGAATTCCCTCTTTCTCTTTCCCTCAGGCCCTGACACCACCATTCTACCTCCCTTTCCTCTGAATTTGATTGCTCTAGGAATTCCATGTATCAACGGACTCAGAACATGTTTTCATCTTTTGGTGACTGGCTTGTTTCCCTTAACGTCATGCCCTAGAGGTCCAGCCGTGTTACAGCATGCACCAGATTTTCCCTTTTTAATGGGCTGCGTGTTACACACACATCTTTTGGCAATCTAGTTTTGTATTAGCCAAACCGCCACCAGACATTTCATCCCATCCCTGCTGGCATCATCCCTGGCATCTCTCACTCTGAAGCCCTTTATATGTCGACCAGTCCAGCTCCATCACCTATGAGCTCTTCTGAGTCTTTCGGCAAAAGGAGACTTTGGGAATGAATCATCTTCACATGAAAAAGAAATTTTTATCTGGTATATAGAAACTGACTTATTTTTTAAAACAATTTAAAAAAATTATTTATTGTGAATACAGCGTTCTGCCTGTATATATCCCTACAAGGCAGAGAAGGGCATCAGATCTTATTATAGATGGTTGTAGGCCACCATGTGGTTGTCGGGAATTGAACTCAGGACCTCTGGAAGAACTGCCTCTCCCAGAGTCATCTGAGTCGTCTCTCCAACCTCAAAAACTGACTTATAAACTGAAAATTTGAAGGCATTTGCCTTGTCGTATGCGTGTATGTGTGTGTGTGTGGACACGTACTAATGCAATTACAGCAACAATAATGAATTTGGAGGTCTCACCATTATGTGATGCAGGTGGCCCAGTCTTAGTCCCCTGAACTCAGGCATTTTTTTCTTTGCTGCAGCTCCCATCTCGCTCTCATCCTCCTTCCCTTGACAGACCTCTGACAGCTCCTACTACACAACTGTCAGTGACCTTTGTCTACACAGTAAACACAATCTCCTTGTCTTAGTTTATGGAGCACATAACACAAATTACCTGTCCAGATCCATCCAGGAAGGCTTCATTATATTAGCCCTGGTCTTTTTCCTGTTTCCTGCTTGCCATCTGCTGAAAGCATCGTACACAGAGTTCTCACCAAAATTCCACCTGAAGTAAAGTTTGCCTCAGACATCCATCTTGTCCAGGAAGAGCTCTCACATCTCCCTACTGTACATGGTGACCCCTTTCGTTGACCCCTCACAACATGTTTGTTTCTATTTCTCCTTTGGAGTCTGTGTTATTTTTCTCTGAATGGCAGTGACCTGCAGGTCATTTTGGTCCTTCACATATACGAGGCTGTGAATTGCTAAGGAAGCGACAGTCTTACTCTCTCATGATACCTAACCTCATGACCTACGTGAAATGGGCTCCTTATAAATGTGTTTGTTTGCTCTGCCCATGGCTTGCTTGGAGTCCAAGCCCTGGAATCCCTAAGACAATCATAGAAACTGTCCTATTTGGCACGAGCCTTCTGGGATCTCAGTGGAAAGAAGGCAGATAGATAGCCCTGGCAGCAGACCCACCCGCGAGGTGCAGGGAGCAGGTCTGGGTAGGTGGACGCTGCTCACTGCTGACCATTTACCCAAAGCGAGCCCTGACCAACAGTCCTTTTGCTTTTATTTTATCAGTCTTTCTGTGGGCTGTAATGTCGGTGGCGGGGTGTGAGATGGGCGTAGAATGTAACTTCAAAGAGGCTTTTCTTTTAGGTGAAAAATGTGATTTTTGAAATACAAAGCATAACCTATATTTTTAAAGATCTGTTCTTTCTGGTCTAATGGGAGATGGGGTAAAATTGGAGGACCTGGATAATTTTTATAACTTTGGATAATTTTTATAACTTCAAAATGTTGACACTTAGGTTCTCCTAGAAGACAACATATTTCCTTAGAAAATTTAAATTCTGAAAGAATTAAAAAACAAGAACAACCCTAAATTACTACCTTGGCAGGGTAATTCTAGACCAATCTTCCACAAAATATGTGATACTTGTTTCAAGGTTGTTCATCTAATGAATTTTAAAACTACTTTATGCTCATAAGATATCATTAATATCACATTTAATGTTTCAGAAGTCAAAGTGTTTAAATGGTGGGGTTTGTTCTCAAGGGAAAATTGCTATGCTCAGTTTGTAGAAAAATAAATGTTAAATTGATTCTCCCTTGAATGACACCAGTTGGGAGGAGTACAGCAGAAGCAGGGACATCACTAGGGAGTGAGTAATGAAGCAGATTGCAAATCATAAATTTCCCAGATACTCATTTTAGGAGATGTTCTGATGAGGACCCTATTATTATTTTAAGATTCTTAAAAGATGGAGAAAGTCCTAAAGGACCGAAGGATGTCTGTGTGTGTATACACGTATGTGTGTATATGCATACAAACATAAATATCATCTTTAAAGGGAACCTGATCAGCAAGATTAGTTTGTTTAGCTCTAAATCAGATATCAGGATTGTAGGCCAGATCTTCAGACTCCTTATTGTGTGTCCAGAGGCATGCTGGATCCTGCGGAGGAACAGTGTGGCTTTATGAAACTCGGTATGTGTTGAACAAATTTAATCTCCTTCCATGACAAAAGACAGGACCTGATGGCTTGAAGGCAAGCAATGGGGTTCATGTATCTTTCATTCAAGTTTTTATTTCTACCCCACATGGGATGCCTGTTAGCAAAATAAGCCGAACACCATGTTTCTAAAGCTGCAGTCCTTGTAGAGATTATGAGACTTATTAAATGTAGGTATATATTCCTAGAGAAAGGGTTATCTGTTAAGGTTTAGAACCATTGACTTAAAGATATATTTGATTATTAGATTGTTAGTATATTATGAACAGACAATAGTACACATGTATGCTTAATCCATCCAGCCTTCCTGGGTACAGTCAGTGTTTATAATAGAAAATGATTAAGATACTATTCCTGGCATTGAGGAGTTGCTCTTCTAGGCAACAACTCCCGTGGAGAATGGGCCAAAGGTATTTAATAATAGTTCAGCTGGAGGGGCACCTGCAGGATACATTCTTCTAAATCAGTGGCTGTCTTCCCCCGCTATCCTTTACCACAGACCTGCCTGAGGCCTATTGAGTGTGTGTGAAGTGAGGCCTCAGGCAGTGTTCTTGAAGGGCTTTCTTGGCAACACAAATATGCCCCAGTGTTGAGAACCACAAGACAGTGTCCTGAAGAAAATCAACTGATGCCCACAGCCTGTTCAGTACAGCGAGAGTTTTTAAAGCTAGGGCTCTGCCAGAAACACAGTCCTCTTTAGACAAACATTCATTTGTAAACCCAGTACTGACAAGCATTGCTTTAGGTACTCGGAGACAGCGCAGTCATTAAAGCAGACATAGTCTTTGCCCTCAGGAGTCTTACTGTCTAGGCCTTGAGGATTCATTAAACAGTGACCCAAATCACGGCAAAATCTCAAGCTATGATGCCTATTTTGAAGTAATAGAGGGTGTGTGGACTTGACTGAAGGCTCAGGAGGAAGGGAACATTGAGTTCGAACAGGAGTTGAAGTAGGGCCTATGTGCTGTGAGCACTGAACTGAACTTTTAGAACAGAGGTGTGGCTACTGAGAGCGAGACCCTGGCAGAGGTCTACAAGACAGAAAGTGGTATCCAGTAGTGGGGGAGTGGGGAGTTGGAAAGCTGGCCAGATCGAGGAATGATGCGGGAGAGTTAGTCCATTCATCCGACTCCTTAACTATTGGAACAACCGACAAAGGGAGGCCGACTTCTCAAAGTAGTAGTGGCCAGATATTATTTGCTGACACAGGAGCTACTGGCAAGGAGAACATTAGCACACTCTTGGTCAGGATGTGACAGGAAGATTAGGTGGGAACTCTCTCATTCATCTCTTTCTCTGAATCTCCCTTTCTCACAGCAAGGCAGGAAGCAAACGAGATTTTCAAGGGCAGCCAGATAAAAGTTCAACCCAAAAGCTTATTGAACTGCTTTGAAGTGGTTTTCACTTAACGAAATAGGAAGGAAAGGAAAACTCCGGCAAGCGAGGAGACACTCTCCTGCCTCGCCCTTCGCTTTTGTAGTTCAGATGTTTGTGTTTGATGGTCAATTACTGGGAGACCTGGAAAGTTGCACTCCAAGCATTTCTGCTTCCAAAAAGAAGTTCACAACCAAAACACCTTGTGGGGGTTCCTTTATTGCTGCTGCTTAAAAGAGAAATCCATTCCTGTCACAGGCACAGGCTGGTTCAGACTCAGCAAGCTAGGAGCCTGCCGATTTCAGCCGGGATTCTTGCTGTGTGTGGTCCTGGATCCAAACACTCTGCAGCTTGGTAGGAGCCAAGCTTTATTTGTTCCACAACCATATAAATATAAATACACAACATTACGTATTATACAAATTCGCAAGGCATCCTTCACTGTTATCCCATCCAGTCTCTCCAGTTCCTAATGTTCATAAGGACCTTCAAAGTAACGTCCTGCTGCTTGTTGCCTCTCAGGGTCAACTAGGGGAGGTGTATGCGCAGGCTCAGAACAAAACCTGCCTCAAAGTTATGCGGAGGGATTTGTTCGCCATCTTGATTTCGGGTTTAAATTTAGTTAACTCTTTCTGCAGTTCATATTGAAACAACAACATCAATAAATACAGCTTTCTCATGACATATTTCCTTACAGGAAAAAAAAAATAAAGTTTGCTCAAAGGCAATTTAGTCACTTCTGATTTCTGAAGCAAAAAGGTCTTTACATTACTGAGAGTTTCATTTAAAAAAAAAAGTGTGATCTCAAGCCATTACAATCTGTGAAAATCACAAATAGAGCCATTGAAAAATGTCTAATTCCATTCTGTGTGCACTGAAATCATGCACGGATAGAAAAAATAAAGGCATGGCCATATTTCCCTGAGGATAATTCTTCCATGCAGACCAATATTACAATGACACATTTTTGTAAATATTTTGAATGTGCACAATTGATTTTTGTCACTTGTCCAACACCTCGAAGTGCTGACAACATCCTAACACACGCTTCTGGATCTGCTTCAGCGAGCAACTGGCAACCATCTACAAATGGCTGCTCTGTTTTGATGTACGCTTAATTAATGCTGCATATGAAGCTCCAAATGGCACAATTCATGAGTTTAAAATATTAATTCTTAGACTGCTTTGGTTAACTGGTTCTAAAATGGAAATTGAACTTTATTTCACATGGTTATTAAATTATCTTACAATAAGTCCAACTTTAAGATAAAGGGATTCATAAAAATCTTTTCTGATTTTAGTCCAAGAATGGGAATTACATAAGGATGTTATAGACAATACATGGCTTCAGCATTGCAACTGTATCTACCAACCCACAGGGGATGGGTGGGATTCTGAGTTATGACATCTGACCACAAAGTCCAAGCTGTTTTTTGATGAAATTCGAGATTAGCCGCTGTGGCCGCTGCTGGTACTCCACCAGGACATCGTGGGACAAATTGATTTGGTCACTCTCGAGTCTGTCAAGAAGTGTCACACAGACCACGGCAGCTAGGAAAGCAAATCACATGGTTAGTTATGCCAACGGGCTCATCTGTTCTATAGGATATTAGCCTAAAATGCTGGCATTCACAACATGTACGTTTTAAATTGGGATCAGTGCTGAGCCCTTAGGATTGACAATGGTGGCAGTAACCTTAGTCAGCATCTAAAAGTCCATTTCTGCAAAGGGGGTCAACTCTGTGGACATGGGCAACCTGTGCCAGCACAAAAATAGAGCTGGGTAATAGCCATTTCTTGACTCGCTGCTTCAGGAGTCACTGGGGTGTATGAATTTAGGAAGAAGTATACTATAATCACAAGAGCTCATGCTATCTTTTAAATTTTTACTTTTCACTGATAAATGATAGCCCTATATATTTAGAGATACAGTGAAATATTTCAAAGGAGATATGCATTATAGAAAGACTTAATCAATCTAACTAACATATGCATCCTTTCACATTCTTATTTTTCATAATAACAACTGAAATTTACTCCTTTAGATATTAAGACATATGCATAATTAGCAACAATACTCACTTACAATGCTCATTAAAACATTAACATTTATTCCTCCGTCTAGCTGCAACCTTGTGCCCTTTGGCCAACATGTCCACACTTCCCACCCTACCCCCTTCCACTCCCCTGCCTCATGTAGCCACGATTCTAATCTCTACTCCCAGGGGTGTTTCTGATTGCACACATGAATGGGACTGTGCAGGTTCACTTTCCATCCCGGACTTATTTCACTTAGCGCGGTGTTTGCAGTGTTCATCTGTTCTGCCCCAAACCCCCAAATCCCCTTCCTTATAAGGCAGACGTGTTCTGTTTTACGTACATTTATATGTATTTTTCCATCCAGTTATCCCTGGTGACCCCTTGGGTGGTTTTTGTTATGGTGGCTATTGCGGATGACACAGCAGTGAACACTGGCGGTGGCATCTCTCCCACATACTGGTTTCAGTTCTTTAACTTAGACATTCAGTGATAAGGTTTTCAGCTATCGTGGTGGGTCTGTTTTTAGTCTGCAAGACCTTGATGCAGTTTCCCACGATGGAGGTGCTCCTTCATATCTCCATCGCCAGCATACTAGGGTCCCTTTATTTTAACCTCCTCACTAGCGCTTGTAATTGTTTCCCTTCCCACAGTCATTGGGGCGGGTGATCAATGATCATTGGGCTACTTGCTTCCCTGCTATTAAATTGTATGAATTTTTTGGGTATTTGTGGTATGAACATCTTACTATTCAACTTGCACATATTTTCCAATACGTGTGTCCTTTCGTTTGGTTTATTTCTTGTTGCATTCAGTCATTATGACCCCATAATTCAGGTAGCCATGTTATGAATGAGGTAACAGTTTGTTCAATTAGACAGATGATTAAAATGAAGGCTTGGAAAAGGTAAACAAATGACCCATTATGATGCAACTGCTAAGGAAGTAGCCAGTAAATCCCCCAAATTGCTAAACACAGCTGCATCCATTCCTCTTCAGTACATGGTGAACTGTTTCGATTTGCCCCGGCCCACCCATCAAAATGATGCTCACAATCGAGTAAAGAGCAACGAAAATAGTCAACTGGAGAAGAGCTGAATATTTCACCTCCTAGGGCCATGTTTACTCGAAACTCACTCGCTTGGTTGTAAAGCAACTTGGCAGGTGACTAAAGTGGAAAGTTAACGACTGCCCCCCCCCCCCCCGGCTTTTCAAGTTAATGAGAAGCAGGTCCGTGAAGTGCAGTGTGGCTGGCAGATGCAGGGACCACTGAGAGTCCGGCTCCAATCCCTCACATGGCAGAAGGATAAAAGGAACCTGGTGTTCTGTGCTCTCCACAGAGTGAACTCTGAGTCCACATAGTGGACCGTTTCTCTTGGATTCCAAGGGTCAGGTCAGATCCGGAGAAAACAAGTAACAGTGATTTTTGGCTTTGCTTTCTTCACCCTAACAAGCTTCATATAATGATCTTGTCACCCAGCTATTTCCATGAACAAATAAAAGGGACTAATTACCCAGGACAACCTGTCAAAAATGAAGCCTGGAACTTTGCTGCCATAATCCTTAGATTAGGAATGGAGGGAGCTCCTGGGGGCTGGACAGACATTTAGTGACCTACCTGTCACCAAGAACATTGCCAGCTATCTGACCCAGACAGAGTGTAACGGGAACACACAGGTCTAAGGCAGAGCGTACTGTGTGCTGGGTCTTGTCATAATGCCTAGCAATTCCAGCCCTCTGGCATCATCTACGGCTGTATAGAGAAGCTGATGAAGTTGCCACTGTGTCTCTGTCACATTAAAAAAAAAAAAGACACCTATTTCTATGCACACAAAATATCTGCGGATAATTTTAGGGAGCCAGAGCGTCTAGGGCTCATACATTAAATCCTTTAGATTCCATACCACTCTCTGCTCTGCCGTGTACACAGCCTCTCTGATACAAATCAAACCTCCAGCAAGGTTTTTGCATTAATGGGAGACAAAGCTAAAAGGGCTGGGAGCCAACACCCATGCACACAGCAGAAACCAAATGAGCCGGCTGCTGGAAAACTGGGAACCCAGCAAAGGTTTGTGTTGTAGCTCCTGGCCTAGCTTATCGGTCAGCTCCTCTTAGCTCCGCCCCCTTTCTGCCCCTCCATCTTCTGTTGTTCCTCAATGGTTGAGTGTATAAAGCCAACACTCTTTTGTCCTGGTTTGCCTGCTGTGGAAGGTTCTAGAATCTCATCATCATCAACCTAAGCCTGTGTCTTTTTTGAGACCTTGAGCTCAGGCTGTTGGGGACCTATCACAAAGCAAGTGGAGCCCTTCCCATTTAGAGGGGCCAGCAGGTCTGGGGACATACAAATAATCTATTTCTGTTTCTCAAAACTTGGTCTGCTGGCCACCTGTATCTAGAGACTACAGATAATGCAGATTCTCATGCTACATCCTAGACACCTGGAACCAGAGGGGGCCGGGCAGGAAATACTTGTAGAAAACAGGTCTTTTTTCATTGACTTCTCTGAAAACTAAAGAGTTTCAACTCCTTTCCCAAATCAAACCAAGTTACCACAAAAGTACATACCTGGACTCTAACTCTTTAGGAACACAAAGTCATGCTGAATTACCTGGAAGTGAGGGTTCAGAGTGCATCCTCTGATTGCCCTGCATCTCTTACATAAGTGTTATTAAAGATGCTTCCTGCTATGGCATAGCTGATGATTTCACTTATTTAATACTTCTGAACAAAGTTTAACATTGGAAGAAAGTTTTGCCAAGACAAACCAAGAAAGGAAACACCTCCGACGCTTCCTTTCATTATAATGAGAGTGGAATAGCACAAGTTACTTTCATTTTCACCCAAGAAGCCCAGAGCTCAGTCCAGGTATTTACAATTAGCGCTAGATTCCTGGGCAGTGTTTTTGAAATTGAGGCCCCTACGAGTATGTCACTCACCCACCTCTGATTCTTTTCTCCTAGTTTTAAATGCTATTTAAACATCCCCGAGCCATTGAAAGCTGTTGCTAGTGTTCTCTGCAGTACCGGTATGCACAGATCATTTCTAGTAGTAACTGCAGTTCGTAACACTGTTTAAAGAAGCAACAGCCAAGAGGCAGTGATGCTGGATCTGTTCCATCCTTGTTCTTGCTCAGCCGTGTTTCCTTAGGCTGCTCACTATTCCCTCTAGACCTGGCTTCATCATCACAAAAAAAGGATGTCTCTCTGGACCTTTCATGCCTCTCAGTTTCCACCTAGGGCCTCACATCATCTTGTCAGTAGGAAGACCATATTGTTACCCCTGAGGAGGCCTAGCGATGATGCTAGGACTTTGATATGCTCAATTATGGGTCATGAAACAAAGATGACTTGGGAAGACAGGCCATGGAGCCTGAGATGCTAGTCCTGGTCCTTGGTCTTGGGGTCATAGCAGAGAGAGGCCAGTATAGGCTGTGCCAGCTTCACAGAGGGTGTGTTGGCAGTGGTGAGAGAAGGCTAGGATTAGAATTAAAGCCAGTCAACCAAAAGTATACCGGCTTTAATTCAAAATTTGTTAAAGTATCTCAGAGTAAGTTATATTTTCTTAATCCTTTCTTTGTCAAATTTACAAGACAAACAATAGCTAAATGTTAGAATTTTAAATGTCTCATCTCAAAAGAAGAAGCGTTTAAGATGATGAATATACTAGTTAGCCCATTTTGATCATTATACAGGCTGTACACATATTGAAACTTGCACAGTTATTATTAAACCAAAAAAGTAATGCAAGGTGTGGTGTGGTGACCCCATCTGTAACTCCTGAATCCTGGAGGTGGAGGCAAGCAATCAAGACCAGCTGGAGCCATATGGTAACTCCTCACCATTACCCCAGGCAAATAAAATAGTAAGTTAGCTACACATTTACACCTCATTTTTCAGATTTGAAAGTTGAACGATCATGGCAGGATCAGGGCTATGCAACGCTATTCTGTGTCTGCTTAACTTTTTATTAGATTCCAGCACCAACTCTTGGGACCACCCTGTCCTGATGGTTTGGTGACTGAAGCAAGATGGTTATCTGTTCACAGTCTGCACAGCACAGCACTGGCCTCTGATTCTGAATGGTGTACACTTGGGTTCTTTGGTCCAGGAACCACCCCTGCCCCCACCCCACCCCACAACCCTGTGTTTCCATGGGAAGGCTCCTGCCAGAAGCAGCAGTCTTTCTGGAGCGAATGGCCCAAGTCACGCAGAGCTGAGGTTAAATTCCAGAGATGGTGGTGGGAACGTTAACGAACCCCAAGCCGCTATTTCTCTCATGAAGGTGTGGAGAGCTACAAATGGCTGCCAAATATCCTTGTGGAACAATTTTTCAAGAACCTGATTGTTCTTCCCTTTTGGGATTAAGAAATATGACAGCTACAAACCTAAAATAGCCATTAAAATTTTGTGGTAACATCTTTTGGGCTTTATCGATGGTCACCATGCAGGTCCCCGACACAAAGATCCTTCATTGCTGGGAACATCCACAGAAGAATTTAAAAAATTGAATTGGAGTCAGGGCTTCTGTTTCCTTTTATTGAATAGTTTCAAAGAAATTCTCTAAAGAATGAATGCCTCCCTAAGTTACAAGTAGCTGTCAAAAGAAATAACATGGAATTATTCCTTTACTCTAAAGAAAAAGCCACCGTGAGTTGCAGACAACTAAAGGCATTGAGACAAACTTGAGCAGAACCTAATCTTAGACAAATATTAGGTTTCATTTATTACTGTGCAAGCTAGTGTCAAAAGGCAACTCTGACTTTAAAAACTAGATACAGGTTAAATATATTTATCTCAAGTTCACAGCCCAAGGGGGTTATCCTCTTTAATCAGGAGTAAATTTTACTTTAAGAGAGGGACAGATGTGTCACAGATGTGCTTATTCAACATTATGTTGCTTTTCTGTTGTCCAGTGGTTTTGCATTATTCTGAAGGGGCGGGCAGCTCTCTGATGCTGGGTGATTTTGAAGTCCACTGCCTCCTTACCCGGATGTCTGTAAAGGTGGCACCGGGTCCCTATTACATTTGTCTGGGGCAGTGAGCAAAAGAACAGCCATGACAGATGGGTGTTGATGGCCTTCTTCCATCCTCCAAATAACAACAGACCCTGGGACTGCAGGTTTGCAGAAATCTCATGGCAAAGGGAAATCTTGGCTCCCGTCCTCCAAACAATTCTGCACCACTAATGTGACCTGGGAATGGAGACGCTGGTTTTCGATGGCCTTTTTCCAAGGTCAAGTAGAGACTCGTTGCCATTCTTTATACTCATTCACTCAGCAAATATGGGTTGAGTTCCCATATGGCAGACATTAGTCTAGGCGTTGGGCATGGAGCAGTGACAAACTTCTTGTTATTCTGGCGCTCCATCACAGTGGAGAGAGAATGAATATCACCTTTATGCACTGGGCTGATTTGTTTTCTGTCAACTCGAAACAAATTAGAGTCAGCTTGGAAGAGGGACCCTCTGTCGAAGAGCCGTCTCTATCACACTGGCCTACGGTATGCCTATGGGGCATTTTCTTGATTAATTATCGATGTGGGAGGACCCAGCTCACTGTGGACTGTAACAAGCAGTTGGTCCTGGGTCGTATAAGAAAGCAGGCAGAGCAAGCCATGGGGGAGCCAGCCAGTAGCATCATAGGGCCTGACTTCCCTCAATGATGAACTGTGACGTGGAAGTGTAAACCACATAAACCTTCTCCTCCCCACATCAGAGTGTATATCACAGCAACAGACAGCAAACTAGAGCAGGCATGACGCTAAAGCAATGCATAGATTAATGTATAAGCAAACCAGAAATGAGCTAATGGTGTTGAATATGCAACAGAGAAGCAAAATAAATGATCTAAATATTAATGATTGGGCTTAGGTACTCATACAATGGTCCCCTGAAAGGCCAAGTCTCATATTAATTGTGAAGGTAAGTGGTGAGGTACATGGACAGAAGCCCTCCATGGACCAGAGAGATGCAAAAATGATCCATTTCTGCCTGGGTTGGGTTCCAACTCTGCGACTGAGTCCTTTGAGTTAGAACTCGAGTTCCTGAAAGAGCTGTGTTAACTTACGGTGATATCCAAAGGCAGAAACAATCAGTTCTCACATGGTTGTGAACTCCTGTTGGCTGTTCAGCTGTCTGATAGTATAAAAAGACAGAGAAGGCAGCCAGGAGAGTAGGGTGGTCTGGGCTGGTAATAACTGCGGAGGAGGGGAGTCAGCGTCTCGAGAGCTGGAAGCCCACGGATTCTAGGCTCTGGGTTCGGGTGGAACTTCTTTGTGCTGCTTGCCATTCATGTCCTTTCAGGTTTTCTGCTGGAGCAGCAGCGTGAATGCACCCTCAGCCCTTCCCCCAAAGCTTTCCCAGCTCACAGAGCGGGCGGTAAATGGGCTAAAACGGAAAAGGGCTGTGTGGCAGTGCCCAAGCTTTACCTCTGGAAAGGGGTGAGGGAGAAGATGCTACGCGGTTGCAGTGAAACATGGGGACATGATAGCAACCCGTGCATGGGCCTTGTGCCTTGACAGTGGGTCTTCCCCAGCCAACAGAGCACAGATGCACTTTTTAAAACAATGCTGTCTTGGGGATAAAAGCAGCCCCCGTGACTGTGAAGAAATCTGGACAGTAATACTTGGGTGAACTAGCCTGTCGGCAGCCAAAAGAGGTCTGCAGGATGTAAAGGAGGCTGCAGCCGTGGCTGGGAAGATGGAGACCTGCAGGGATGCTGAAAGCAGAAAGCAAAGCTCCAGCAGCAGCAGCGAGAGTGGAGTGATGCAGGAAGACAGAGGAAGGCAAGACGTGAAGGAGGCACGCCTGCAGGTGGAGGTCAGAGCAAGGTCATGAGATCTACCTCCAGGACAAAGAGGCTCTCTTAAGAGAAGAGTTTCCCTCGGGTCTCTGCAGGAGTCTCAAAAGACAAAGGCAGATAGATACCCAGGATTCACAAGGCTACAGTGGTCCCTGGGGGCCAGTAGATGCCTTTTGCAAAAAGAACCCATGGCCATCAGCACACCTACACCTGCAGCCTGCTGGCTCAGCAGTTTACATTCGACCATATTGGATATCAGGTTCTGCTCATTTTCATATTTGCAGAGGTCTGAACTAAGCGGTCACTTGTTTCCATAATAGAGAAAGCCCAGAAGGCCTTTCCCAGAGCAGGAATCTGCACTGCTGCCTAAGCGAGGTCAAGCGGCCCCGTGCTTGCTAATTTGTTTAGGGGAAAGCGGGGCCTATGGTTTCTCTGAAAATGAGGATTCTAGACAGGCTCGCAAATGAGGGCGGGGTGGGGTCTGGGAACACGGCTCGCTGTTAAACTGCTTGCTGTGCGAACCTAACTAAACGCCTGGTAAGTGTGGAGACCTGCATGTAATCCCAGCTGCTGAAGGCAGAGGAAGTGTCCCCCCCCCCATCTCAGCAATCTGCTCGGCAGAACCAGCCATGTCAGTGAGCTCAGGGTCCGACATACGTAGAGGGGCAGCTGAGGTTGATTACTGATCCCCGGCTTCCACATGACATGCCCACGCATGCACATGTGCCCACACACATGCTAACATGCATACGTACATGCACATCACACACATACCTACACATGAAAAGGAAACTATCAAACGGCACGAGGAACAGTTTGTGGGTCTTCACCCATAGAGTACAGGGATTGGCATGGACGTGTGTATGTGTATTCTGAAGTAGGAGTGGTTAAAAACAGTGTCTCTTAATAAATCTCCTTATTGAATCTTTCTCATTCCAAAGTCCATTCTCAGAAAGGTTACCACAAGTGCAGTGTTTATAGCACGCATATGAAAATGTATTGGCTCTAAGACCAAAGGTTAGAACTCAGGGTTCTTATGTGACGTTTTTATCCTCTGGGCAGCAGGGAACACTCTGCTGGTATTATGTGACATTACTGATCCTCTTCGGGTTCTGTGACATCACTGATCCCCTTCGGAGTCTTCCTCGAGTCCCTAACGTTAACTTTGGTCTCCTCCCATCTATGCCTATGCTCGCCGCATCTCATCTACCATATTCTCTTCAAATGCCATCTTTACACCATCAACATATACGTTTGTTTACTCCTCCAGTCCAAACCCTACATCCGAGCCTGAGTTAGAAGTCCCCCTGCTTACCTGACCTTCATTTGCATGTCACTGTCTCCAAATCCTCACCTAAACATGTTCTGTCCCCACTGTGACAAGCTCACTCCTCTGGGAAGCTGTAGAGTCAGCCTCGCACCTGGAACTCACACCGAAACCTCAGCGGTTCCTGCTGGGGTTCTCTTCTGAACCCGTGCAGAGTCTGACGTCATCGCATTACCCTCCGCTAATCACCTTGGCGCTTTGTACTTTGCTAGAAGTTGCTCTGGCCTTTTTAGTCCCCTTCCCGCTTCTTCTCTGGCCCCAGAGAACCAGAGAACTCAGAACCCAGAGAAAGTCTATCGAAACTTCTCTCCGGCACCTCCCTGTTTCCAGACAGAAAGCCCACGTTTTAACAGGGAGGCACACAACCTGCCCGTCTCCCCGGCACCTCCCATTTCTCACCGTTCCACCCTGTGCTTGCCTCCACCTGCTCCCGCAGCACACCTGTGTGCTCCTGATATATTTAGCTTTCCATTTACACTTTCCAGAACGTGCTTCCCAGGTTCCCATGTGGCCTTTCCCAAATGGCACCTTCCCCTCCTACCTTTTCCTGACCCATGCTAATTAAAATTATGACTGATAGACTATTTTAGGAATCTCTCATTTGCATCCTGTCTCAACAAATGCAATTATGAGAAGAAACGGCAGCCACCACCGAGATGGAGAACAAGGAGCTTGCAGTTGGGTCCTAGCTACACCATCAGCCAGCGTGTGCCCTTGACTTTTTGATCCCTGAGCTTTGCTTCCTCATCACCGTGATGGGAGCAGCGTCCTACCTGCTCACCAAACACTATGAGATAATGTATATTCTGAGTAATTTTAAAGCGTGCATTCGACACAAAACAAAATTTATCTGGGCCCCCTTCCCTCCTCCCGAAGAATGAACCTAAGATGGCCTTAAAGAGGGGCGGCGTCCTTGGCATTCGCGAGAAGTTTACCTCTCAGACCGCACAGGCCACACATGGCCGCGAACACCGTCGACTCCATCTCGATGTTCCTGACCCCAGCTTTATATGCTCGCTTCAAGTAGTCCAGCTTCTTCTCTCTCGAAAAGGAACACAAGGCTCCGTCTAGGCGGGCCTGGCCTGAAAAAGGACGGAGTGATTTAGCGGCTCATGTCTCACCTCAGTGGCAGTGTTGTCAGCGAAAGACTGCCCAGCGGTTCAGGGCTCTGCTTCTGTCCCCACCTCTGGAGTGATCCTCCTCTGGGGAATCAACCTGGCTGCTGAATCTTTCTTCCAAAGAGAACATGGCTGTGCCTGGTTCAAATCTCATAAAAGAGGGTAGAACATCCATACAGGAAGGAGTGCCCCAGTTCTAAAGGACAGCGGGGACATCAGGAGCCGGGTGAGGGGGTCACAGGGAAAGTTTTCCTTTGAGGAGAAACTCAGATTGTCCCAGTGGCAGGGATCCCAGGCCAGGTGGAGACATGGGGCAGGCAGGGTGGTGGGGGAGAGAGGCGTCTTACCCTCCATGCCTCAGGGACACTCCTGAGGCAAACGGTTTGGACACTGCCACGCTCCGTATGACCACCATGGCCAAACAGGCAAATGGTGTGTCCCTTGTCCCTCACAGACCTCTCAGGCTTTATGCTAACCCTTCGCTTGAATTTTCCCTTTCATATTGTCCCATTATTTCGGGCTTACTTCACGTCGGTTGACCAGTGGGGACAGAAGGAAGTGGAGTACAGTCTGATGTTACCTAACCCCGTGCCTTCTGCCATGTGTGCATTCTAAATTTTCCTACCCAGCAGTATCCGGATGGAAGCCAATTGCCATCCATTATTTGCACTGTCCCTTCCGGAAGCCTTTCCTGTCTTTCGCTCCTGTTCTCCGTGGCTTCTGTCCTGACAGTGAGCCTTTCCCTGTTCCTTCTCTCTTCTCCGGTGCTGCCTGCCAACACCTCTAACGGTGTTATTTATGCTGAGGCAAACCCACATGGTGCAGAAGCCATGGGTAATATGAGTGGAAGGATCTGCCTAGGCAGATCGGTGTGGCCTCACTTCACCGACCATAAGCAGCCCCAGATGTGGGCCAGGGCTTTCCAGGGCCGTCATGCGTGGAGCATTTTGTACCTTTTAACGCCACTTTATGTCATTCGGAGAAGCCAAACATCGGAATTTCTCATATGAACAGCTCTAGAAATTACAAATGTTGGCAAAATAATTCGCATTTGGAACAGTATCTCACGGGCCAATGGTAACACTGACGCCACCAGGCTTCGGTTTATGAGCTGTGACGCAAACGCACGGGTGGGTGACCCTCTAAATGAAGTGCTTAAGAGTCAACATCCTAGAACAGTCTCAGTCTGTCCATCAGTCCCTCAAACACCTTCACTAACCCGAACAATGCAAAGAGAATACAATCTATTTCCATGTATGGCTTTCAGATTCTTAAAGTAACTACATAAACTTTGATAGAGAGAAAAGTAAAAGATGATGAAATCTTAAGATTAGCTGTGATTATTCTATGAACACAACTACAGCACAAGATTTGCTGGAAGCCCAATGTACTATGACATCAAGGTAGGGTAGATTCTTCTGTAATGAATACAGTCTGTCCCGGGGGCTTGTTGTGTCTTGTTTTGGTTTTGCCTTGCCCCTCATCCCTTGGAACAAGAGCTGCTATTTGGCAATGACCTTCAAGATAACTCTATGGAGACCCTATGTTCTTGGCTATGGGATAAAAGATCCACCCATAGGATCTGTTTAAGTGAACTTTTCTCCCCATTTCCCGATCTTATTTCTCGCCCAGTGTTCAGGTGAATGGCAGAAGCATAGGACCAGCGTATTCCTCTGTCTTAGAGTTAGCAATCTAAGTAAAAGTCATGAGCAGAGAGAGGATGCTGTCAACATCACTAATTGCATTTTAGTATTCAGACTGATAGAGGATCAAACCCATTCTCAATATCAACTCATTCTGCATGTTTCTCGGCTGCTTATTAAGCCCTCAGGGCGCTACGCTTTAGTAAGTAAAAAGGCTATTTGCTGCCCCCTTGAAACTTGCTAGTTTCATGATTAACTTGCTAGTATGCAGTTTTAATATCAACTGTGGGTTTGTATAACCAGCTGCCAGTATTTTCCTACTGCTTTTGCAGCGTGTACAGGATTCTCACCTTCATAAAAGTCGTAGGTACACATCGTGTGTCCGATGAGGGTTGGGAAGCTGAAGATTTCTCTGCTACAATTGAGCAAGTCAGTAGCCAGTTTTTTGTCAAGTTCAGTGTTTCGGGTGACCACGTTGTCCAGGATTACCTGCTCAAACCGAGGCTTGAAGAAGGAGTCTACAGCTGTATCTGTTATCACAACAGACCCGGGGGCAATCCCTGCAATACGGAATAAATTAGCGATCCCAGAAGATTGCGCAGAGTGACTTTTGTGACATGTAGTATGGAACCTACTCTGTCAACATGAATTAATGCTGTTTATTAATGATTGCCCTGCTTAAAATCTTTAAAAATATTTTTTTTCCCTGAAAGCCATCGAATAACCTTTAGAACAGGCATTTTCATTGGCTGTCTACCCAGATTCGCATTTACAATGTGGTGGGGTTTAGATTTCAAGACAAACATGATTCTTGGATGTGCAAATTCATGCCAGCCTTCAGGCTCAAATTTGAATAAATTAGGTCAGGAAGAAAGTAAATGAACCTGCCAGCAAGTAGCTTTCATAAAGGGATGTGACTACTTGATATTTAATCTCCCTGCAGAACCCTCGATTACTATAATTTCTTGGCAGCTCTCTCCAATCTTCCTTCAGATGCTCATCACGTAGCCTCCTTTTCCTCCTGGGCTCCATGCAAATTAGGCCTCTTGGCTGACCTTCCCTTGCTGCAAAGTCTGCCTTGCTCAAGGGGCCTGGACCCACTGAGATGCCATTTTCTGTCAACTCCTTTCCTCCCTGCCTGGGTGTGTTCTTGCTCTCCCGACTCCTTTTCTTTACACTGATGCCAGCGTTCCTCAGCTGCCATCAGGAGTCACTCTCTTCCAAAAGTCCTAGCCATGGGAGGGCTAACCAATGAAATAAGCATAACTAAATAAAAGGGAGCAAATATAGGTTTACAGTGAGCGTCCACCTTTTGATTTGCCCTGATCTCTACTGAAAACCTGGGGAAGAAGGTGTATCTCGATGGTGCCCTGGGCAGCCTCTCTCTGAACACTCATCACACTGTTTACAGTCATTTGTTTGTCTAGCTCTCTAGTGGAAGAATACAAGGTGTATCAAGTTTAAAACAGTGCCAGTTCGTCGCCCTCTCCCCAGGTCTGGTGCTGTGCCTATCACATCATGAGTATTCGGTAGAAATATGGTCAGCGAGCACATGCTTTTGTAAAATTGCTACACAACACAGGTCCGCAAACTCTGGTCCACAGGCCACATGTCGCTGTCCTAGTAAATGAAGCTTTGTTGCGGCATGACCACGCATTCATTCACATACTGTCCTTGCTGTATCTGAGCTATGGCGTGGCATTGAGAACTAGCAACAGAAAGAGCATAGTTTGCAAAGCCCAGAACTTTTACTGTCTGGCACTTTACAGAAAATGTTTTAGCGACCTTGGATATGGACCATAGACTCATCCTGGTTTAGGATAAATTCCAATATGCCCAACTAGGGTTAATTACAGAACACTTTACATTTCCACCTAGACACCCAAGACGACTGTACTGTTTAATTTCTGTTGTTGAAATACAACATCATGACAGGGAAACCAGGTTTATGTTGTTTACAGTTGCAGGTTATTATCCATCATTATGGGGAACTTAAGGCAGGAAGTAGAAGCAGCCGGTCTCATCCACAGTCAAGAGCAGAGAAAACATTGAATGCACGTGTACTTCCTTGCTTGCGCTCAATTCCATTTCCCTCCTCTTACACAATTCGCAACCCCCTGCCTATGGTCACATCCACATCACTGAATTTTGTCAAGACATTCTCCAGATACACCCACAGGCCCACCCAAGGTAGATAATGTCTCTGAGACTCTCGCCAAAGGATGCTAGGTTGTGTCAAGTTGACAGAGGAAGCTAAACATCACAGTAGCCTCTGAAGCTATAGCTCCATTTGGTAAGATGCATTTTAAGTCAGCCAAAAATAAGGGACTGCTTACATTGTTCAGAATGTCCTGAGATGCTGAAAATGTGTTTTCTTTACACTGCCGTGACACATAGATTCATCAAAGAAGCATTGATAGCATTTTTGTCTAAAAAAAAAAGGCGCTTTAATTGCTTATATTTCCCTTATCAAAGTATTTTCTCAGTTAAGGAACTGATGTCAGCAAAAAAATAAGTAATATCTGTGTTTTCCATCTTCAAATACAGTTTTGCTTCAAACAGAATGGATGAGCTTCTCTTAGTTATAGTATTAGTAATGAAGATGCAACTCTGAAATGAAGCCATTTCCATTAGTATAACAGTTTAATTTGCTTCTGTTGACAGGCCTCTGTCACGCTGTTGGTACTATCTTGTTGTCTGTACCATGTTATCATGAAACACAAGACCATGATCATGATTTAGATGGTCACTAGAGTGACTCATCATATCACTGGAGACTCGTTCATATCAAGTGACAATTGCAGCATTCAGGAGAACAGAATGTGGAGCTGTGACCTTAGAAGGCAAATCAGTGTATCCCACAAACCAAGAATTACGGTAACCATGTCTTTCCCAGGCATGCCTTTTCCCTGAAACTGATTATTTGGGATGCTGTTGGGTAAACCGCCATCTAGAAGGATGTCTGATCAACACTGGTTGCTTATATTCTCCATTTCCATTTAAAAGAGGACCCACAAATGTTTGGGTTTTTTTTTTGTTTGTTTGTTTGCCCACATATGGGGGCTTTGCCTGTCTTTCTCAGATTATAGCTCTGGAAAGGCTGTGGTTTTTTTTTAACTTGCTTGATCTTAGCGAGCGCCATCTGTGACACATGCCACTTCTCTGGTCCTTTGAAGATTTTTGAGAGCTCCTCTCGCTCCAAAATGCTTACTTGAGCAACGCGAAGGGATTTGTCTTTTAAAAGCTCACTCCCTATTATGTAACCATGTTGTCCTGCCTCTCTGTCAGCCAAACCTTCCCATTGAGAATGGCGTGTCTGCATTTGCGTGTAGTGACATGGTCAAAGGACACCATGAAAAATCTATGCCCTGAGAAACGATAGAAGCGAGGCAGGGAGTCTCTTGGAAAAACTTATGTAGCCGCAGACTTTCCCTACCAGCCCACACAATCCTTTCTGCTATGCAGTCAAGTAAGAGACACAACCAAGAAAAGAGCAGCAGTGATCAACAAGAAGAGCCAAAAGCAGCATGTTGCTAGTCGGTGGTTGCTATAAGGTCTGATACTTAGTAGATAAAACAGGCAAAAATCCATATTTTCTTGACCTGAACACCCTCATTCCTGTTAGGCAAAAATTTTTCAGGCTCAAAACCACCTCTTTCCATGTGCTGATAAGTTTTTGTCAACTGGACTCAAACTAAAGTCACCTGGGAAGAGGGAGCCTCAACCAAAGATTCTGTCTTCTGTCCTCCCCATGTTGATTTTGATCAAAGTCTTTTATCACAGCAACAAAGGAACAAACTAGAACATGCTATAAACCATACTTTCTAATAATTCCACTTATCTTTATGTGAACAAAAGTGGAATTACACATACACACACACGAGAGAGAGAGAGAGAGAGAGAGAGAGAGAGAGAGAGAGAGAGAAATGAGAAATAAGGGGGAGAAGAGGAGTTAAATCCTTAAGTCCAGCCTCCCAGTACTTTGCAGTCCATGTGGATTTCTGTTGGGCTCCATATATGTTGGTGTGCTGTGGATTAACACAGAGACGTAAAAAAAAATCTCAGTTTTAATGGTAGAAAACAGTCTGTCTCACCAATTCCCCCTGACGTTCCGATTCGGATGATGGTGACGTCACAGCAGCGTGCATGGTGGAGTAATTTGATGAGTTCGTGGAGCATAATAGAAATGGAGGGGATGCCCATCCCATGCTGTTGAGAGAGGGGAGAATCATTACACATCTCACACATGCAGAAGTGAGCAGGACGTATTTTTTCTTCCTTACAAGTTAACAGCCCTTGTATAAATTTACATAATCTTTAAGACTGTACCCATGCTTGGGAAAACATAAGTCATCTCTAAGTGATGCCTGTGTGGCACACTGATGGATGAGTCCATCTGTGAGGACTTGAGAGAGACATCCTACTGCCAGTTAAACTGGAAAGAACAGAGGTCGGAAGGCCAAGTACAGGTGTGCCAGGGCAGGGTCAGCTTTCGTCTCCCTATGAGGGTCTTGTCAACGAACTCCCTCTGCATACACAGTTGACATGGAACTGAAAAGACATAATTTTGGCTGCCATTTCACCAGTCTTACTTCACGCTAACCAGTGGAAAGAAACAAACCCTGTTGTTCAAATGTAGCCTCAACTGTTTGCTGCTAATTCCATGTGAGTTCAGAAGGACTCTAAGGGAGAAACTTGGCTTCAGTTTCCAACCTGCTGTGGGATAACCCTTCTGTACGCTGAGTTCATATACATATATGCTGTACACTGTATATGTTGCTCTCATTGGCTGATAATGAAAGCTACTTTGGCCTATAGCAAGGCAGAATATAAGCTAGGTAAGTTAGCCAAACTGAAGATAGAGAGAAAGAAGCAGCTATGTGGTAATATATAGGTGAATATAAGTGGGTTAATTTAAATGTAAGAGCTAGTTAGTAATAAGCCTGAACTATCGGACAAACATTCTGTAATTTTTTTTCTTTTTTTCTTTTGGTTTTTTGAGACAGGGTTTCTCTGTAGCTTTGGAGCCTGTCCTGGAACTCCCTTTGTAGACCAGGCTGGACTTGAACTCACAGAGATCCGCCTGCCTCTGCCTCCCAAGTGCTGGGATTAAAAGCGTGCACCACCACCGCCCAGCAAACATTCTGTAATTTATATTAAGCCTCTGAGTGATCATTTAGAAGCAGTTGCGGGATGGGGAGGGACAGAGAAACCTCTGTTTATACCACTCAAGAGTTTGAAGCTAATGCCGAACCCATCAATCAGTTTAAATTGCCATTGATCATGACCACAGCCTGGTTTAACTTAGCATTTATCTCAAAACAATCACAGTCACCAGACTAGGGGGTCACTTGACACAGGCTAGAGGATTTAGCCATTTCCGGTGGTTCTGTTACATCTAACAAATCTTCAGAAAGACATTCCATGCTGTAAGTTGTAGAAACTGGAGTTGAGTTTCAGTAGTGGCTATTGCACTTTTAACATGATGGCAGATATGTTAATATGTCCATGGCCGTAGAGACTTTGGAAAACCACTAGAGCTTTGGTCGTGATGTCCTCAACCTGAGCTCCCTCTCCTTCCCTTTATCAAGAATATTAAACTGTGGAAACCAGGGGTTTCCACAGGCCTCTGGGGTCACCATTCCTGCCCCCCATTCAATATGCCCTGATTTCTAAAAGCTTAGTAAGCCTCCTGGATCCAGGAATCAAATGTGCATTGATCTATGTATTCAAGATTGACAAGTTTGGGGCTTTGGCACTCGCTCTGCAACAGATTAATAAACTACCATTTGCTGCAACTGTAAACTAGAGGATGAGCTATTGTTTTATCTCTTAGCTTCTTTAAAACCAGCCATTTGTTAACCTAGGCTCAGAACTTATGTTTCAGTGTGATGATAAAATTATAAATAGATTCTTGTGTTTCTCTTGCAAAGAGGTCTATACTGGGAACCCCTTGCCTGCCTAGTATTCCTTTTTATTTTATTTTTTCTTTATTTTACATTCCAACCACGGTTCTCCCTCCCCCTCCCTCCTCCTCCTTTCCTCCTTCCCTCCTCCTCCTTTTCAGCTCACTCCCCATCCATTCCTCCCAATGGGTAAAGGCTCCCATAGAGAGTCAACAGAATCTGGTCTGCCTAGTCTTCTAAGCAGCTAGCCTTGACCATCTGGGCCATGTTCCCTGATAGAACACAAGGTTACCTCTGGCTTTGTCTTATGATGAAGCTCTTCTGATCATTTAGAGTAGTTTCACTTTTGGGATAAATTTTAGTTTTTCTTTCTCGATTTACCATACAAGATAGGACAAATAATTATAGTTCAAAGGATTGTAACTGAAAAGTTAATAGGACAGCATCAGGGAATATTTAGCTCCTTCTAAGGCAGATAATATATAATTTTTTATTGAATGAAAAAATTAATAAAAGAATGAATTCTGCCGTTAGAAGCCAAAGCGGGGTTTGGGCACTCTTGTCTTAGAGGGAAGACCAACTTCTCTACCACTGTGGTATTTTATATGTTTTCTTTTGTTACCCAGTGTTCCCAGCTCTCATTACATTTCATTACTAAGTAATCTGAGCAATTTGAGAGCTCAATGAATCATGACTGTCCCTCATATAGAGGGCATTTCCAGCTGAGGTCTTCAGAACTGTCACATCTATGCAGGTCTTACTCACTGTCCGCAGCTTATGCCCTTTGAGAGGACCACCATATCCAAATGCACGCCAGACTCAGCATTTTGCTTCTGCATCCAGCCGTGCGCGGAGGGCTGAGGCAGGCAGAGTGGGTGGATGTGCACAGACACCGTTCTAAACGCTTGCACTGGTGGGAACTGCTCAGAGAGTCATTCTGCCTTCACTTCGTCTTTAGACAGTGTCCAGAACAGCTCTCAGGTTCTAGAGAGGAGAGCATGCCACACGAGATCTGTGGAAATGCGCTTGCAGCTTCTTAGCAAGCTTAGTCATGGTGTATTCTAACGGTACCGAGAATTGGCCTCTATGAAAAATTCGGTGTTCCTAAAGCTGGATAAAGGACAGAGGAAGGAAAATGGCTGGAGAGGGAAGCATGTTGATCAATTAAGAATAGAAAGATGTGTGAGCCTTGAAGTCTATTGTCCTCACCTCAGACAGTTAAGTAGTAAGTGGAGTGTAAAGGTAGTGGTGACCCTGCAAGCTCTGCCCTGCCCTGGAAACCTTTTTCACTGTGTCAACCTCTTCACTTGCATTCCTTGCACCCGTGAAGGCAAGGCAGAGTTGGGGGAAAGCCGTGTTCGGAAGGTATCCCAGCTTGGGTCAGCGTGCAAAGGCTGGCTGGCCTGCAGCTTTCCCGTACTTACACTGATGGAAAGCACAGGGCCGGTCTTGAACATGCAATATCTGTCCGTTCCTGCACAGATGTCTTCAATGTTGTCTCCATCTCCCTCCAGCTGGAGTTCCTTGTGCATAAACTGTGCAAACGCTTTCATTCTGTTGGGGCTCCCGCCGACACAGACGAACTGTCAAGAAGAAGGAAAAGGAATCTGCCATGGTCTCTCTGATAAGAGCAAGGGTCAACATTCAGTTCTGGTGTTTTTACTTTGTTGTACAGTGAATTTACTTCTGAGCATGGGCAAAGGTCCTGGATTGGGTTCAAAATTTGGCTCATTTACATCATTAGCCAGAAAGAAGGCAGCTACGTGCAATGAATTATGTACTAACCTAGTGAAGAAAATTGTAAGTGCTGGCATTGTTCAAGGACATATCTCCTGGTGGCTTTGTTTATAGTAGCATCAGCTCGGCATCGTCATCAACATAATCACCCTAGTGGCCTAGTGACGGGCACTCACACGACAGATGTTTAGTGTCAAGTCCTGAGGACGTGGACTATAAGCGAGGGGAAAGTAAAGGGACAGCTGCCAGTTCTACTGTGTTTTCTGATTATCTGTCCTAACCTTATACTTTTATTTTAAATGTACTGTGATAACTTCGGGCTTGATAGGACTCATCTCAAGGCCTTTCTGCTCTTTACTGAGAAAAACTCGTCATGGAGCAGGGCTTGTTGTTAAGGTCAGAAGTCGACTGCAGGATTTCATCTATACTACTAATTTGCTTTTCGTATTGTCTGACTTTGGGGCAGATGTTGCAGTCAAAGGTTATCATATCTATTAGAATATGGTGATCATTGGCATGCCTACACCCAGCATTCTAAGGAGATTAGAGATTTGCGAGTTTGAGCACAGCCTTGGCTGCACAGTGCATTTGACCAGACTAGAACACATTATAAGACCCTATACCAAAAGTAAATTGTAATTGCTCATGCCACAACTTGTTAGGGATACACCAACCCCAAAGACAGAAGAATACGCCAGAGAGAGGGAGCAGAGTGGCCTGACACAGGCCTGCATGAGAAGGCAACCGGGTGAGCTCTAGGTAGGGGTCAGAAACAGAGGACGCACAGAGCATTTGAAGGTCGGGAGGAAGCAGAGCATACAGGCGCTGATGGGCAGAAAACCACTTAGCAACAAAAGCCACACGGTGTGGTGCTAGTGTGGTGTGATGTAGCGTAGGAGATGTGGCGTGTGTGGTGTGGTGTGAGAGGTGTGTATATGTGGTGTGAGAGGTGTGTGGTGTGGTGTGAGAGGTGTGTGTGTGTGGTGTGAGGTGTGTATATGTGATGTATGAGGTGTGTATATGTGATGTGAGAGTTGTGTGTATGTGGTGTGAGGTGTGTATATGTGATGTATGAGGTGTGTATATGTGGTATGAGAGGTGTGTATATGTGGTGTGAGGTGTGTATATGTGATGTATGAGGTGTGTATATGTGGTGTGAGAGGTGTGTACATGTGGTGTGGTGTATGAGGCATGGTGTAGGAGGTATGTATATGTGATATGATATGAGAGGTGTGTATATGAGCTGTGTGCATGAGGCATGGTGTCTGAGGTGGGTATGAGAGATGTGGTGTATATGTGGGGCGGCACACACAGTGTGGTGTATGGAGTGAAGCCCAGAGAGCAGATGCTGTGAAATGCTGGAAAGCCACCATTTGAACGTAGTAGGCAAAACTGGTTCATCCCTGATTAAGTAACTTGCTCAGTGACACATGAAAACTTAGAGTCCTCATATGACAAGAGCATTTGTTCAACTATGTTCATAGCAGTATTATTTGTAATAGCCAGAACCTGGAAACAACCTAGATGCCCTTCAATGGAAGAATGGATGAAGAAAGTGTGAAATATCTACACATTAGAGTACTACGCTGCGGTAAAAAAACAATGACTTCTCAAATTTTGCATGCAAATGGATGGAAATAGAAAACACTATCCTGAGTGAGGTAACCCAGACCCAAAAAGATGAATATGGGATGTACTCACTCATAATTGGTTTCTAGCCATAAACAAGGGTCACGGAGTCTACAATTGGTGATCCCAAAGAAGCTAAGTAAGAAGGTGAACCAAAGGAAAAACATATAGTTGTCCTCTTGGCTATGGGAAGTAGACAAAATTGCCGGGGAGAAAATTGAGATCTTGGGGGTGGGGTGGGATGGGGGTAACGGGAGATGGGGAGAGAAAAGGGAGAAGGGGAGAATGGGGGGAACTTGGGGAAAAAGGAGGATTGGGATAAAGGAAGGTTAGATAGGGGAGCATGGAAGCACAATTCTTTTTTTTATTTTATTATTTTTTTTATTTTTATTTTTTAAATTTATTTATTTATTAAGGATTTCTGCCTCGTCCCCGCAACCGCTTCCCATTTCCCTCCCCCTCCCCCGATCAAGTCCCCCTCCCTCATCTGCTCGAAGAGCAATCAGGGTTCCCTGACCTGTGGGAAGCCCAAGTCCACGAGGGGTGCACCCACACACTAAGACAATGGGGATGTTCTATTGGGAACTCACCAAGGCCAGCTGGCCTAGGTCTGAAAAAGCATGGGATAAATCCGGACTAGCTGAACATAGCAGACAATGAGGAATACTGAGAATTCAAGAACAATTGCAGTGGGTTTTTGATCCTACTGCACAATTCTTAGTTAAGGGAGCCACCTTAGAGTTGGCAAGAGACTTGAACCTAGAGTGGCTCCCAGATGCCCAAGCTGAGGTCCCCAGTTAGTTCCTTGGGCAGCTGAGGATAGGGAACCTGAAATGACCCTATCCTATAGCAATACTGACGAATATCTTGCATATCATCATAGAACCTTCATCTGGTGATGGATGGAGATAGAGACAGAGACCCACACTGGAGCACTGGACTGAGCTCCCAAGGTCCCAATGAGGAGCAGAAGGAGGGAGAACATGAACAAAGAAGTCAGGACCACAAGGGGTGCACCCACCCACGGAGACAGTGGGGCTGATCTATTGAGAGCTCACCAAGGCCAGCTAGACTGTGACTGAAAAAGCATGGGATAAAACCGGACTCTCTGAGCATGGCGAACAATGAGGGCTGATGAGAAGCCAAGGACAATGGCACGGGGTTTTGAACCTACGTAATGTGCTGGCTTTGTGGGAGCCTAGCCAGTTTGGATGTTCACCTTCCTAGGAATGGACGGGGAGGGGAGGACCTAGGACTTACCACAGGGCAGGGAACCCTGACTGCTCTTTGGACTGGAGAGGGAGGGGGAGAGGAGTGGGGGGAGGGGGAGAAGGGTGGGAGGAGGCGGAGAAGGGTGGGAGGAGGGGGAGAAGGGTGGGAGGAGGGGGAGGGAAATGGGAGGCTGGGAGGAGGTGGAAACTTGTTTTTTTTTCTCCTTTTCTCAATTAAAAACAATGGGAAAAAAAGATCATCACATCACAAGAACATGGAAAGGAGTTAACATTATGGGAAGAAGTCATTAAGAAATGGGGACTAGGAAAGAAATAATTATGTCCAACTCTGCAAACGCATAAGATAATTAAGAGAAAAGGAAAAGAACAAACAGTAGGCAATGAAATGAAGAAAATGATCAACAAAATGCCTGTCAAATACTAATCCTAAATGTTAATAGTCCCAACTTTTAATTAAAAGATGAAGACTACTTAAAAAAAAAAAAACTTAGAGTCCTCAGACCACCATCGTCAGAGCTCTCAGGTTTAATCAGACTGAAGTGGGCTTGAATATATAAAGGAGCATGCGTAGATCCTGGCACCTTCTCAGTGATCACAAAAGTGGACTTCTCCTTTGAAGATCCAGGCAACACTGCCCAGGGATGCCCTTTGAGCTCACATCTCTCTACTGCAGGATTCAGGAAAAATGAAGCTGACTCGAGCTTTCTGGAATGAAGAAAGATGTTTAGTGGGACCTGGCTGATGTGGGTTGCTTTGGGCAGAGGAGCCAAGGAAGGCTAGCAAGGACCTTCACAGGGAGGTCTGAGGAATTCCTGAGGTTGTAGAGTGGGCACCCCTCAGGCAAAAGATCAACAGAAGTATTGGGTGGTCTGTTTGCATGATGTGTCCTTGTCTCCACTTAACAGTAATTACTGGGAAGCATCTCCATCACAAGACATAACTATTCCTTTTGTCCGGGCACTTTGCTTGTCATCTACCCTCACTGATGTCCTTTCTGGAATGTCCTAGGAGTTTTTCTGGCAGGACCTTAAGGTAGTAATGAACAATGGGAGTCAGTCACCAAGACTAGGGACAATCGAGCAAGGTAGGCCATCGCTTAAGGTGAGCTACAGCTACTTACTCTTGATTGTTTGCCCCTTTGTTTGGACTTTGCCCCTTTCATGCTGTAAGTAGTTACAGCACTTTCTTACTATGAGCAGTTAAGCACCTTCTTACTATGAGAAAGTCAAATTCTAAGTACAAGGAGGCCCCCTTTTCTATACAAAATACAGTAGTTTGAAAATAACTCCACCGTGTGGGGCCAGTACATCTAAATTACAACAGTTCAGACTGACCATAAAACCAAAACAGATGTTAGAATAGTTTGCGGTTTGGGTTCTGCTTTGAACTGTAGCTATTTCAGGAATCAACAGGAATGTCCGCATATTTCTCGAGACATAAAGATGACAGGCGTGGACAGGAGCAATCTAGTTCCTGACGTTGACTCCTAAATCAGACTCACTAAGCATCAACTGCAGACACAATTGCCAGTCTGGCTGCTTTAATGAGGAATGACATCGCGCTGAAGACCACTGGCCAACGTTGGTCACTCAAACCAAATGAGCTTTGTCCAAAAGATTTGATTTCTCAAAGTAGGAAGAAACACACTGGATAGGAATAAGAAGCATTATAAAAGTATGTTCAGGACTTTGCCTGGTGATTTCCAGAACGGACTCACCTTCCAATATTCCCAGGAGCTTAAATGATTTTGCCAGGTTGCATTAATTTAGAGCATAAATACAGCTTATGTATTCTGTGTATTAAGAAGGACTATTGATGGAGGAAGGTCGTTGGTTAAGTAATAAAGAAACTGCTTGGCCTCATATGTTAAAACATAGGTGGGAGGAGTAAACAGAGCAGAATGCTGGGAGGAAGAGGAAGTGAGCTCAGAGACGCCATGCTCCCCTCTCCCAGGCAGACGCGATAGCTCTGCTCTCTGAGGCAGA